AATAAAATACCTAGGAATAAACCTAACCAAGGAAGTGAAAGACCTATACCCTGAAAACTATAAGACACTCTTAAGAGAAATTAAAGAGGTCACTAACAAATGGAAACTCATCCCATGCTCTTGGCTAGGAAGAATTAATATCGTCAAAATGGCCATCCTGCCCAAAGCAATATACAGATTTGATGCAATCCCTATCAAATTACCAACAACATTCTTCAATGAACTGGAACAAACAGTTCAAAAATTCATATGGAAACACCAAAGACCCCGAATAGTCAAAGCAATCCTGAGAAGGAAGAATAAAGTGTGGTGGATCTTGCTCCCCAACTTCAAGCTCTACCACAAAGGCACAGTAATCAAGACAGTTTGGTACTGGCACAAGAACAGAGCCACAGATCACAGTCTTTTATAACCTAATGTCAACATGGCAAACCATCACTTCTTTCCATATGCTGTGGTCACAGAGCCCAACACTGGTACAGTGTGGGGGTGGACTGCACAGGTGTGTGGACACAGAAGGGTGTGGATCACTGGGACATTCTTAGAGGCCACCTTCCACAGAATACATATTTAACAGAAATGTCATTATATGCTATGCCCTGTTCTATAACTTGCTTTTAAAAATCATTTGTAAATCATGCACACCTTTCCATAGCATTAACTGTTGTTTTGTAACGTCAGTATTAGTGATTGCATAGTATTCCATTATGTGGATATGTCACAATTTAGTTGTTTAATACCCTAAAATTAGGAAAAACATGACTCTTCTTTCCCATGCTGTGATTAATATCTTTGTAGATATTTATGAATAGGCATGATTATTTCCTTAGAATAAATTTTTTTTAGAAGTGGAATTGCTGGATTAAAAATGTACAGAATTCTAAAGCTTTTAATACATACTTACAAATTTCCCTGCAGGAAGTTTTGCAGTTGACACTCATATTAACAATATGGATGAATGTGCTTGTGCTTAGGGTTTTCATAGCATGTGGGTTCCTCTGCCCCATTGGTTCCCTGTCCTGTGAAAGTCAAGCTTGAAATTACCAGTTGTCAAATAATTCAATTCAGAATTTTAAACTGTTAGATCATGCATCAAGATTATTGGGAGTTTTTTTTTTTTTATGTCAGATGTGTTTCTAAAGATCCTAGTTCCTCGACTAGTCAAATTATAGTTTTAGGAATTTATATTTGGAAATAGATGTCTTTGGTCTTCCTGGAGTTTGGGGGCTTTTGTTTTATTTTTTGGTTTGTTTTGTTTCACTTCCCAAATAGTCACCAATAGGCTCCATAATTATTTGTGACAAATCATTGATTTTACCAGATATACTAACTTGGCATTGTTAGGTGGATTGTGCTGTGTGTCACCATATCCTGCACTAAGGCCCGCGTTCTCTACAGCTCAGTGCTTTTTTGAGGCATTGTGGTCCTGATCACAGGTGCCATGTGATCATAAGGTACCCTGGGTCTCCCAGGAGAAAACACCTTGAGAGGAACATGAGAGAGAAACTCAGAAGAACATGGGAATTCTGAAGGGAGGAAAGGACATGGACAAAGAAGAATAGAGAGCAAGTGAGAAGGAAAAGGAAAAACCTTTCATTTTTGAATCCTGAAAACCTGGGTCTGCTACTTATAAAGCTCTAAGTCCCACCTTGGGCAAATCACTGGTGCCTGTTCTCTCATTTGTACAAGAGAAGCATTGGTTGACACTGTCATTCCCTTGTATGTTCTGCCTTTCTGCATTGACCCTCCCGCTTGGTTCCCGCATGCCCAGCTCAGTGCTCCAGAGCAGCAGCATAGCAGGTGGTTAAGAGCAGGGACTCTGGGTTTGGAATTCTACCCACTGGCTGTGTGGTCCTAGCTAAGTTACTTAACCTCTCTGTGTCACAGTTTCCTCAGCTGTGAAATGGGGGCTAATAATAGTACTTAATGTTGCTACAAAGAGTGTATTTACTGAAACTATTTAACCGTCCCTGAATGTGCTGAGATCTCCCCCAGAGCTTGTCCCGGTGTATGAGCAGGATCTCTCCAGTCTCCTTCTCCATCCCCTAAATGATAATTTAGCCCTTCCTGAGAAGCTAAATTGTACATACTGTACATAGTGTAGTGACACTGGAAATACATAAGGACATGGTCTTGCAGTTTCCTAGTTATCAAGGCAGTTTAAGATATTACAATGTAATACTTGTGCTTAAGACGACTATATACATAGAATTTATCTTCACTTATATATGTTTAATAAGCAGATGATGTTTTGAGCTCTAATCCAAAGAAGTTATATTGAATTTTCTACATCCTAGAGCTTCTTCTATTTCTGCTGCTGTTATTCTTCTACTCCTTCTTGCCTCTTTTTTGAATGAATATATTTGAATATGGATGAATAGGGCAGCAGGTATAAAAGATTAAATTCCTGATACGATAAAGCTTTCTCTATGGAGTCGTACATAAATATGTGATAACAATATGGCATAGGTCTATAGAAGCAGCATCCTTGCTCTCACTGGTTTTATTTTGTAGACAGCTCACAAACATCAAAATCTATGTAGATTTTTTTATACATATGTGGCTGGATGACTAATGGCGCCTCCAGTATCTCCACATCCTAATCCCTGGGCCCTGTGAATATTTCCTTACATGGGAAAAGGGCTTTGCAGATGTGATTAGGAATCTTGAGATGGGGAATTCTGCGTTATGCATATGGGCCCACTGTCATCTCAATGGCCCTTCTAGTAGGGGCGCAGGAGGAGTCAGATTCAGATGAGATCGCAACGTGACAACAGAGCAGAAACTGCTGGAGTGCTGTGCTTTGGAAATGGGGGGGAGGGGCCCCAGCCAGGGAATACAGACAGACACGGGAGCCTGGGAGAGACGAGGAAGTGGCTTCTCCCGTCAGAGCCTCCAGAGGGAGCCAGCCCAGGTGACACCTTGTCTTTAGCTCAGTGAAACTGACTTTGGACTTTGACTTCTGAACCCTGAGAAGATAAATTTGTGTTGTTGTTAAGCCCCTAAATTTGCAGTACTTTATTACTACAATAGGAAATTAACACAAGACAGGAATCAGTGGAAACAAAGAAATGTAGTTTATTATGAAGCCTCTAAATGTAAATTATCTAATTCTGTATTTCTCTCTAGAAGTAATCTCCATGGAGTTGAGCCTTTTGCCATTGAGAATCTCCGTGGTGTAGTTGATCTATTTCCATTTAAATGGTCTTTTTAAATTAACATCTACTGTGAAAAATGTTATTGCCAAATTCCTGGCTATAAAAGATTGTACGTGTACAGAGAAAAGCTAACATTTGGAAAGTCATTCAAAAACAATCAAATGAATTAAAATACATTTTTCTGAAAACTTTAAGATTTAAATCTTTAAGACTGGATGGACATTTTAAAGAAAGCATATGCTCTTTAACTTCTTAAACTCAATAGAAGGCTACATTTTTTCATAAGGTCTTTCTACTGTTACTGTACTTAATCAATAATATCATTGTTTAAGTAGAAATTATTTCAGTTAAGTGAAAAGTTCCAAGATCGTTTTGTCAGATCAGGAAAAAAAATAGGTATATGTCTTCAGGATATATCACTATTTACTGATAAATGGTTATTTATGATTAATTCTAATACAATAATCACTTCAAAACAGTTTTAACACTTTAAATTACCTACTTTAGAGTTGAATCAACAGTAATTGCAATTCCAAAGTATTTAACAGTTGGATATAGCAATCTGTGACTGCATTAAGAAATTTTCACCTAAACCTGAGTCAGCAAACTGTGTGGCCCAAAAGCTAAAAATGGTTTTTACATTTTTAAATGGTTGAAGAAAGAATAAAAAGAAGACTGTCTCATGACACATGAAAGTTATATGAAATTCAAATATAAATATCCCTAAATAAAGTTTTATTGATTGCTATGGACTGAATGTTTGTATCCCCCCACTAGAGTTCATATGTTGAAATCCTAACCCCCAGTATCTTAGGAGTTGGGGCCTTCAGAAGGTGAGTAGATCACAAGGCAGAGCCCTCATGAATGGAATTAGTGCTCTTATTAAAGAGACCCCAGAGAGCTCTCTGGACCCTCCCACCATGTGAGGAACACAGTGAGAAAATGCCGTCTGTGAACTAAGTTCATAAGCTTCCTAGTTCATGTGTTTTGGGTTTCTTTTTACCAGCCTGAAGAGACTGTTGGAACACAGTCGTGCCCATTTGCTTGCTTTTGGCCTGTATGAGAGCTTTCTCACTACACCAGCAGAGCTGAGTAGTTGTACCGGAGACTGTATATCCCCACAGACTGAAAATATTTGCCATCCAGCCTATTACAGAAAAATTTTGTGATCCCTGATCCAAAATGCATTCAACAAGGTCTCTCTTACCATTCTAGTATTAAGCTGCAAGTATACTCTATACTCTGCAGCACCAAACCAGGGTGCCTTATAGAGTCACAGTCTGCGCTTGCTGTTTTGCGGGTCACCCTCCAGGGTTTTGCCAGGAATGACTGTTGATGCTCAGAGTGATAACACCCTTGTTATAGGGCAAGACTTCAAACTCCATAAAGAAAGATGAAATCCTTTTTTAGTTCCATAGAACTTTTATTTGAAAAATAAGTCCACATTTTAACTCTAGCTCAAATACTTCAGTCCACGACTGCCAGGTAATTGAAATTTTACTCTTACGAGAAAGACCTACAGGTGCTTCATTTCAAACACCGGAGTGTGGAGTCAATTATTGATGCTGTGACTTATTACTACTGTCTTTTTTTAATAGTTACAGTTGTCTTTTAAATTTTTCTTTTGGAACAGGCAAAAAATTTCTCATAAAAATAAGTACCTCCTTATTTCAATCCCCATGCACATCAGAAGTGACCTAATAGATTAACACTCCCTTAGAGCATAAGCAAAGTTGGATTTTGTTTAGTATGTTACAACAGTATGAATTGGCTTATTGTTATGAGTACTCTCGGTACACATTTAAAAAATGATTTTTTTAAAGATGTACAACTTGCATGTACTAGAATTGAAACCTTTGCTGAATTTATGTGCAGTGCTAAGCCATCATGTTAAAATGCCACTTGATGTATGGGGTAAGGGAGGACTCTAGTGAATATAAGTCTTTTCCTTTGAGAAATTAGCTGATTTGTTGAACTGATGATCTTCTCATGGTGTTCTCTCACTGGAAGAGCAGCACAGTGCCTGTCTCCTAGGTGCCAAGTTGTATCTGAGGGGATGGGACAAAGTGGACATACATACCTTCTTATCAATCATGTGCAGTGGGACAGCTTCACCTTTGAAAGAAGCAGTTTTCCTTCCCAGGTCCAGCAGACAAAGTTTTATTGGTCAGAGCATCTTAGCTGAGGCTTTCTGAACAGTAAGAGATAATTATGTCAGCTCGCCTTTACAGGCATTTACTCTCTTATCCTGTAACTGGGACAGCAGATGCCTGTTCCATGTTCTGGGTTGACAGACTGTGATATGACTTGTTGCCCTGGGGAATGGTCACTTACAAACATGCAAACCAGGTCAGTGGTTTGAATTTACAGTGACCGACTGACAGTGAGTGGCAAACAAATCAAGATTTAAGATTCTGCATGTGATAAGTTTCTGCTGTTTAATGATAACCTAGGTTACTTGCTTTGAATCTCTCATTCTAATGCAACTACAGAAATAAAAGCATATTCTAAGTGAAACTACATTGTAGAATCCAGTTCTAACTGCCTTCCCAAAACACAGTCTGCAGTGTGTGTATGGGTTGCTATAGAAATGGTGGTTACTGAACCAGCTTCCTATCATGCATGTATGGTATGTACGTAACAGGCACTCAGGAATGTCCACTTATCATTGGTCTGCAGTGCATCTATCTCCACTTCAGAGGGTGAACGCTATTACTGAAGCTGTGCTCAATGAACTAGTCTTTTTAGGTAAGTCATGGCAAGCCTGCCTTTGAAGCTGGAGCTTGATTTAAAATATAGACCTAAGATTTTTTTCCATTTCATTTTTTTTTTGAGGTGGGTGGGTGGGGAGAAGGAAGAGATGGGAGTTCGTAAAGCACTGAATTATGCTTGTAACTTTAAGAAAATAAAGAATAATATTACAGGCTTTTCTTTTTCTCTGTATATCATAAGCCACATTTCCAAATGGAAGGTAAAATACTGAAGTGTAGTGATTGAATTACCAGGATGAACCATATTATATTGGGTGGGCAAAGTTAAAATACAAGAAGGGAGTTCATGTTTCTAACAAGTATGCATTTACATATGTGATGTTAATTTTAGAACTGTACCTATCAACTTTTTTTTTTTTTTAAAGAACAGACTCAGTCATTAAGGGTATAAAACAAAGAAAGCAGCGGACTTACCTTTCTAAGTGTAATGCCAACATATCCTTAAGAAAGATGATCTGAAATAGGTCTTCTCACAGTGAAGGCTGTTTCTTAGAAACAAAACAGTAACTCTCAGGAAAAGAGTCTCTATTTTCCCAGATGTTAAAATTGTCCATAATGAATCAGGCTTCTATTAGATACAGAGGAGAAAAGAAGGTAACTTACCTTCAAAGAAAGCTGAGTAAAGTGATGTTACAGGTATGAGAAGACACCGGAGGCCCCTGTGGGACTTACTCAGGCAAACAGTGACAGTCCAGTGAAAATTTTTTCTTACCAGAGAGCTCGGCTGCCAGGAGGCCAACAAACCATGATTTGTATTTGAGACATGATTTGTATCTTTTGCACTGCAGACCATTCGTGTCATGGTTGAGATGTTCCGCTCCTGCTGTCTGAGTGGAGTGGAGTTGGGCTGCCTCACACGTGCACTGCCCTCAGGGAGAATGCATGCTGAGTGATCTCAGAACATGGACATTTGTTTTTCAGTGTTGCTTAGCAACTCCAAAAAACAATTTAGTGATATCAATTCAGCCCTAAAAATTGCTAAGCCTTTTGTGTTTGTAACCCCTCCCCCCCAAATTGAGAATTTTCAGAGAATAATACCATCACATTATCTATACTGTAGTTGTGGTTCAGGGCCACTTTTGTTTTGAAACCCTATTCCTAGAGACTTCATTTTCCTAACTGGCATTTTATATAGAGCTAAAACTTCCCATGCTTGACTTCAACTGAAACAATTTTTGTCAAGCTTTACAAATAACTGTTGCTCACTTTGTGGTCTCAAAGTGTATAGATCATTATGTTCCTTCTGAAACATAATGTGTCTTATGTTATATTACAGTCAACTCTTAATAACCACTTATAGAGTATTCTCTTTGTGGATTATCTATGGAAAGTGTATATCCTCCTCTTAGCTTCCCCACCACCTGGAAGCCTCAGAGCCTTCTTGCTTTGCTGCCACTGGCCTGAATTTTAAGCACTGCATCTAACATGCTTAATCTAAAATCAGCCTGGGTGTAAAATAATTGGAAAGGTAAAACTGCCAAAATTTATTTCAAAACCAAATAATTTGTCAGTGTCAGTGTTTTCAATGATCTCTACTGAAAAGGATAATTGGAAGGTAAAAGTATTTTTGGTAGAACTGAATACCATACTGTTTGTACAGTGTACAGCAGGCGTTACAGAGCATGGGCAGCATGTAGCCCAGCAATTGAGACAGCCCAGACTTGAGTACTGGCTCCTTCTCAGGTTACTAGTTCTCTGATCTTGAGCAAGTCTCTAGCCTCCCTGGGCCTCAGTTTTCCCCTCTATAATATAGGGATAATAATAGTCATTGTTCCCACCTCATACAACTGTTATAAATGGAGAATGTGTACAACAGTACTTGGCGCTCAATGAAGAGATCTATACCTGTTAGCCATTTTAATTTTTTTTCTAGATAACATATTTGTTAAAGTAATAAGACATAACAATTTAAGCTTTCAAATTACATTCAAAATATTTTTATATGTTTCAGTTGTCCATTATAATTCAACATCTATATCTACTACAAAGTGATCACCCAAAAGTCTAGTTGCCATCACCATACATTTGACCCCTTGGCTTCTGGTAACTGCTGATCGGTTCTCTACCTATGAGTTTGTTTTTGTTTTGTTTTGTTTGTTCATTTGTTTTTAGATTCCACATATGAATGAAATCATATGGTATTTGTCTTTCTCCTTCTGACTTATTTCACTCAGCATAATACTCTCAAGATCCCTCCATGTTGTCACAAATGATAAGATTCCATTCTTTTTATGGCTGAGTAATATTCCTTTGTATACCCCATCTTCTTTATCCATTCATCTATTGACGTTGTTTCCATAGCTTGGCCCTTGTAAATAATGCTTCAGTGAATGTGGGGGTACAGATCTCCTTTTGAGTTAGTGTTTTCATTTTCATCAGATAAATACCCACTAGTGGAATAGCTGGATCATGTGGTTGTTCTAGTCTTAGTTTTTTGAGGAACCTCCATACTCTTTCCCAAGTGCCTTCACCAATTTATATTCCCACCAACAGCGCATAAGGGTTGCCTTTTCTCCACACATCCTCACTAATATGTATTATTTCTTGTCTTTTATATAATAGCCATTCTGATGTGTATGAGGTGATATCTCATTAGCCATGATTATTATAATCATAATTTCTATTACTTAGTCAATAAATAGTGTGTACATTTTTTGGTAAAGAATGATATAAGAAAGGACAGGTACAATGATGTCCTGGTGTCTTTAAATTTAATACCCCTGTCTCAGCCAAGGCTGTCATCTAGCTGGTATGCCCCAGGTATCATCTGGTTGGTTGGTACCCATGCTCTACCAGTTGTTCCATATTTTGAATGTCATTCCTATTTCCCTATTTCCAAATGACTCTTAAAGTTCAGGATACGTAATGCTTTCTAATTTGAGTAAAGTAGGAATACAAATCCTCTGGGGTGCACAGCAAGTATTGGACCAGGGAGCCAGCCTGGCTGGCTGCCTGGCATTGAAACTTTAACCCAGCCCTGCTCTTCTCCTTTCTTACAAGTTGGCTCCCTTGCTCTTCGCAGCAGACTATGTTGTTGTCCTCACTTCTGGGACTTGAGATTGATGAAAATCCCAGATGTCCAGAATTCCCTGAGTAAGATTCCAAAGTTTCTCAAACAGGAACCTATCAACCTGGATGGCTTCTTTGGGGTCTCGGAATTTTCTGCAAGGATTTTAAAATCTGGGGTTGGTTTTGGTAATAACCTTTCAAAACTTAACATGAAAATTATTCTGTATCATCTGGATTGAATATGGCATTAAAACTAGATGCTGTTATTGCCTGAGTTTAATGTTTATGAATAGACTGTTAGAACTAAGGAAACAGACCTGAACAAGGGTAAATGTAATACATAAAGGACCGACCTTTATGTATTAAGGAAAAGTAAAATAAAAGTTTGTTGAAACAGGAACATTCCATGGTAAGTTAAGTTAGAGAAAGGTGGCAGGAGAATCGAATCATAGACACACAAGTCAAACAAAACATCCCCCAGCCATCCATGTCATGTTTATGTTGCAAGTGAGAAGTTCCCTTCTGTCATTAGGTAATATGTTGTTGGTTTTTATTTGAATTTTATTTTCAAAGTTTATAGCCTATTTCTGTTTCTTTTATGAACTTATTTTGGATTTATACTTTTGTATGAGCTATACTATTATATATTAGGACATATTTAACACATTGTGATTTTTTAAATAAGGTCAACACATTGTATGAGAATATCTTTTTGTTTTTAAAGTGGTTTTTTGCATTAATAAGATCTGGAAGTCATTGGTAAGATAGTCCTGATCTGATATCTGCTTTAGGCAAAACCTCATCAACACGTGAGATTTAATTTTGGAAAAATATACATTATTGGGAAAACCTTCTAGATACATCATTTTATCTTTTGGAACAAAATTCTACCTGTTAGTAGTTCTACCCCTGGGGCAGTGCCACCTGAGACTGAGCAAGAGGGACCCTTGCCCTAAGCCCCTCCTCTTTAGGGGACTCTGCTCTGGCCTTCATCCACCTACATCCTTTCCCCATGGAAACAGACATCCACTGACCCAAAGGAATGTGGCCACCTGGAATCTCAGCCCCCTTCTAGAACACCTTCCTACTACCTTAGACCCCAGAATTCCTTCCCAAACAGGCCTAAGCAGGCTTCCAGGCCCTCTTGCCCAGGTCCATCACCCGGGGGCAGACCTCTGCACTCACATATACTCACCATGTGCCCGCCCTCAGGCAGAGCAGTCACCAAGGAGGGGCTGCTGGCTGGGGCATGAGCTTGGACATGGGAGTTGGTAGTCCACGTCCATGTGCACAGGGCTGGGGTACGAAGGAGTGTTGCTCACAGACTAGCTGTCCTGTGCTGATTATTTCAGTATGTAATTCTTTAGGTTATTAATAAGTTATAATGGTGGGGGGACAAGACATTTATTTTACAGTGTGATACTTGCCTTACAACTTTTAAATATTAAGATACGTTGTATACGGACCTCCTTTTATACCCTTGCTTAATTTCTGCAAATGTTAGGAGTAGGCCATATTTTCCCAGATGTTAAAATTGTCCATAATGAATCAGGCTTCTATTAGATACAGAGGAGAAAAGAAGGTAACTTACCTTCAAAGAAAGCTGAGTAAAGTGATGTTACAGGTATGAGAAGACACCGGAGGCCCCTGTGGGACTTACTCAGGCAAACAGTGACAGTCCAGTGAAAATTTTTTCTTACCAGAGAGCTCGGCTGCCAGGAGGCCAACAAACCATGATTTGTATTTGAGACATGATTTGTATCTTTTGCACTGCAGACCATTCGTGTCATGGTTGAGATGTTCCGCTCCTGCTGTCTGAGTGGAGTGGAGTTGGGCTGCCTCACACGTGCACTGCCCTCAGGGAGAATGCATGCTGAGTGATCTCAGAACATGGACATTTGTTTTTCAGTGTTGCTTAGCAACTCCAAAAAACAATTTAGTGATATCAATTCAGCCCTAAAAATTGCTAAGCCTTTTGTGTTTGTAACCCCTCCCCCCCAAATTGAGAATTTTCAGAGAATAATACCATCACATTATCTATACTGTAGTTGTGGTTCAGGGCCACTTTTGTTTTGAAACCCTATTCCTAGAGACTTCATTTTCCTAACTGGCATTTTATATAGAGCTAAAACTTCCCATGCTTGACTTCAACTGAAACAATTTTTGTCAAGCTTTACAAATAACTGTTGCTCACTTTGTGGTCTCAAAGTGTATAGATCATTATGTTCCTTCTGAAACATAATGTGTCTTATGTTATATTACAGTCAACTCTTAATAACCACTTATAGAGTATTCTCTTTGTGGATTATCTATGGAAAGTGTATATCCTCCTCTTAGCTTCCCCACCACCTGGAAGCCTCAGAGCCTTCTTGCTTTGCTGCCACTGGCCTGAATTTTAAGCACTGCATCTAACATGCTTAATCTAAAATCAGCCTGGGTGTAAAATAATTGGAAAGGTAAAACTGCCAAAATTTATTTCAAAACCAAATAATTTGTCAGTGTCAGTGTTTTCAATGATCTCTACTGAAAAGGATAATTGGAAGGTAAAAGTATTTTTGGTAGAACTGAATACCATACTGTTTGTACAGTGTACAGCAGGCGTTACAGAGCATGGGCAGCATGTAGCCCAGCAATTGAGACAGCCCAGACTTGAGTACTGGCTCCTTCTCAGGTTACTAGTTCTCTGATCTTGAGCAAGTCTCTAGCCTCCCTGGGCCTCAGTTTTCCCCTCTATAATATAGGGATAATAATAGTCATTGTTCCCACCTCATACAACTGTTATAAATGGAGAATGTGTACAACAGTACTTGGCGCTCAATGAAGAGATCTATACCTGTTAGCCATTTTAATTTTTTTTCTAGATAACATATTTGTTAAAGTAATAAGACATAACAATTTAAGCTTTCAAATTACATTCAAAATATTTTTATATGTTTCAGTTGTCCATTATAATTCAACATCTATATCTACTACAAAGTGATCACCCAAA